TAAAGATGAACAGCAGCACAACTCACTACACAATGCAACTACAGAGTCTCTGCACCCACCTCCCTCTGAATTTTCACTCTTTCCAGGGAAAGAAAGATGCATTAGAAAGACTTGAAACTGAAAGTATGAACCAAGGTGGGAAAAAAAGTGTATTATCTTGCCTACAAACAATTCTTGCAGAGTGCTGTCCATCACTGGGGACAACAGCCAGCCCACCAGACACAAGCACAGCCATGCCCTACTGAAGGGACCACAGCTATGTGGCCTCTCACATCTCTCTGAATCCATGTGCTTTACAAAACACCAGCAGCAGACACTTCTGCTTCCCAGCTCTACTGCTTCAGTGAGCTCCTCTTTAAACAGAGGCAGCCTCTGCAGCAAGGTCAAAGCTCAAGTGCTCCCCAGTCCTGCACAGTCACTTGCCAGGCAGTTGCAGTTTGTTCAGAACAAAAGGATTTTCCAGCTGTGTGTAATGCCTCAGGAAACAGAATTTTAGTGTAGCAGGAACACATGCACCAGATCAAGACTGCAGCGCCCACACACCACAGAACTGGTCAGTCCCTCAAAGGACACAACTCAGGAGGATGCAACACGTTATCTCAGGATTAGGAAGCCCAGGTCAGAAAGAACTTGCATTCTCCCCAGTGTTTTCCTTCTTAGTTTATAAAGCACCATTTACACTGCTGTACAAATAACAACACTCTGCTTGGAGATGAACTGGAGCTAGAACAAACCACCATCAAAGCCCACAGCAGCCCTGCTTGCCCCAACTGCTCTGAGCAGCATGGCCAGTGGGCAACCACTGCACGAAACTCAGCAGCACACTTAACTCCCAGGAGACATTTGATCTGGAATTTTACTTCACTATTTGTATTTTTCAACCTAGGTGTATCACAAATCTCTTCAGAACATTCAGCTTTCAAAGAGCTTTCCAGCAAAGGCACCACCACAGACAGCCTGTGACTCACCACCTGCCCTGGAGAGCTCCAGAGCAGACACCAAGTGAGAGCATCCCCATGGTCAGCCAGAGAGGAGTCACTGAGCCCAGCCAACAGCACCAGTGCCTCCCTTCTGCCCACTCCTTACTGCTGCAGATTACCTCCTCAATCGAAACTTCTTAATTGGTATCTGTGCTGAAAAGCTCTCTCTGTTCAGTTTGCAATGTTTTGCTTAGGTTGCATTTCTAGTTCTTCTGGACACAGGCCTTGTCTGATTTGTCTGCAGGGAAGCACAAGAAAAGCTGGGAGGAAATAAATTGAAAACAGTTCAGAATTGAAGTTTACCCTTCCCCTCCCACCACTCTCAAACCTAACCCCAAAAAGCTTTCAGCTGAAACAGAACTAAAGCTCTCAAAGCTTCAAACAAAGAAATCCCTGTTCAAAACAGGACTACATGAGCTTGGTGCATTCTTCTTTTCACAGAAAAGTGCTTTAGAAGGTAAGTTTGATTTGTTTGTACTTTTATTTCCTGAGCCAGTGCTGCTCCCGGTCCCTTGTTTCCTCTTCTTAGGAACTGGAGGAGAATGTTTCCTTCAGCTTTGATCATTAATTTTGTGACAACTGATTAGAATTGCAACAGCAGTTACAGCACTTGAGGTTAACCACACACAATCATCCCAGGTTCTATCAGGAATTGAAAAGTTTAGTTAGAATTGCTACCTAAAATCTGGAATAAAACTTACAGATGCCTATTTATTTGAAATGGGGGAAAATGACAGATTCCAAACTGTAACACTTTGTTCTAGAGAGGCCTGGGACAGGAAAGGTATTTGCAAGGCAGATGGGTAGGAAGAGCTGCAGGTCAGTACAGCTCCTGCTGGGCTGCTCCCTTCACTGGAGGATGCACAGGGTTCAGTCCCTGCTTTCAGGATTTTGTCATTCTGCAATTTACCTTCAGCGCTTAGGGCTCTCACAGGCTGTAACTGCACAGCAGGAGAGGCACATTCCACCCCCAGGAAAGGTGCACAAGACCCTGAGACACTCAGTAATGACTGCCTTGCTTTCACCCAGCAAGATCAGCCACCAAAAGCTCTCCCAAACCAGCTGTAGTGGGGGACCCCCTCTCCCAGCTGAGCTGCATTGCTGCAGCAATGAGCTACAGCTGAGCTGGTCTACTTACAACAAAGATGGCACAAAGGTTCCAGGGAACAGCTGCTACAGTTGGAGCTGGAGAGAGAACAAGATCAGGACCGGAGAGGTGGGGATCCTGCTGTTTACGTGCATGACATGAACTGTGCTGATAAGCCATGAATTTGATAAGCCTCAGCAGAGATTAATGCGTCATTTTACCAGCCGAGAAAAGCGAACGTACACAGACTTCATGGAGACCCACTTGCCTGCCCTGCTTTGGTGCTGTGCTCATTTCCTTCAGGGCTTAGTTTACCTCATGGCTTGTGTGCCCAGGTGTCACTGAGACATGCCCAGAATGCTTCCAAGAGGACAAGAGTCAGTAACTGAGACATTCCTCTAAGAGCAGGCAGAAGCATAAACTAACCAGAGTAAATTAGACTAGGAGGGAGAAGAGACACACCAGCTCAAACTTCAGTCTGGAAGGGGAAAAAAAAAAATAGTTTGGAAAGAGAAACTCCAAATAGCCAAAGCTGAGTCAAAGTCAAGTAGAGAAAAAATAAACTCATCCCATAGTTTATAGTTCAGAATGCTGGATCCCTCCCTTCATTTTCTAAGAAAAGCTTCTGTGTTCTTAGTGTGAAAAACCAAAATATTTTAAACAATAGTGAAACAAGACCCCAAATGTCCATTTTGTTTTATGTTTCTACCTGCAGAACTACTACAAAGTCCTATCCTTAGGATTTACAACAGTCCCTCAAACTCACGGAGTCCATACCGAGCCTCAGCTTGCCATGGATGCATTTTGACTTCATTATGGTCATGCTGTTTCAAGAAAACAGTGCTTACTTTTTCCCAGGGAAACATGGTGTGCTACATGTGCTTGATGCAGGCCAGCATCAATCACCTAGAAGAGGAAAGGCCCTCTCCCAGCATCCATGAAGGCAAGAACGCTGTTGGAAGCTGCTCACAGTCAGTACATTGTAGTTCTGCTCATCTGCATGGTCCCCTTGGCATCTAGCACAGTGTGACCTCACCCTGCAGCCTCTGTGCAATCCACAGCAAAAAAGAGCAAACACATCCAAAACAAGGAACGTTAGTTCCAATGCCACTTTCTATTTTCGCTTAGGCAGTGGTGCTGATCAGCTAACCACAGACACTCAGCCCCAGCTATATAGCTGCTACAGTGTCCATGAACTACACAGTAGGCTCACACTTGGCTGCTCCCTGTGCCACCTGATCTGCTCTTGGCAAAGTTTAGACTTCCCTACTGATGCAGGCTGCCTGCAACACTCTCCAGTGCGTGCTTGGGGGTAGTTAGACCTCCAGTCCTCAACCAGAATTATTAAATTCACTGTCACAGTGCATGTGACAAAGGGATTTTAGAGTCCCAGCTCCATTCCCTTTGAGCCTCTGTTTCTGATGGATGACACACCATCACAGCTTCAAACACACCTGAAAAACAAGGGCACTTCCAGCCTCCAAACACTCCCTGCATAATCCTTTGGAGATGCAGAAAAGTGTTCAAACATTTTAGCTTTGGAAAGCCAAGACTAACATGCAGCTGTTCAAAGGATTATACTGTGCATGTGTGAGTGGCAGCCAAGCAGGGTTTCATGTCCCCATGAGCAGGACCAGCCACAGCCAATACAGCTGGATGACCACAGTGACATCATGGGCATTCTCAACAAGAACCTGGAAAAAGGTCAAGACCTGAAGTGCTAGAAACTGCATCAGAAGGGAAAGGCACAGAGATAAATGCCTGTTGGAAGGAGAATCAATCTAGAGAATGAGAGTGCCAAGGAAAATGAAGGGCTGGTAACGGAGAGGGTTAAGAGAGGGACAGAAACAGTCTCATAGGGATGAGCAAATAAAGGGCACAGGGTGGGATGAGAATCACATCCCCACTGATAGATCTTCATCACACACATCATGGGAGAGACAGAACACTGAATACAAACAAGCAGGATAAAAAGCCAAAGCTGCTTTGGATAACACTGACACTTCCACCTCACCATCATCATCCCCAACATGCAACACCTCACTTGCCTGCCAGCAAAATTTGAACTCTGCACAGCTCCCTCCAAGACAACAACAGCCTAAATGCTCCTTGGTCCAGCAGCACCATGCAGTGCAGATGTATCACCCCACGCCTTGGTGGCACCATTTCTAAGGGCACTACATGCAAGCAACTGCACACTCCAGAAGCCTCCGAGGCCACTGCGCAGCATTTTGGTTTGTAATCTCAGTCCCCCCACCAGATCTAGAACATACAGCAGCAGCAAGTGTTTGAGACTGCAACAAAAACATCTCCCATGTCACAGTCACCTTCCTGTACATGAGCCACAGGCTTGTCCCTTGGATAAATCCCACAAACTAGCAGTTCTGGCCTCTCACAGACAGTCGGCTCAAGAAACCTGAGTTTAAATGAGACAGAAAGTTAAGGACTGACAGTTTATGAAAAGTCCATCACAAACCCTATGCTTACACCACGGCAGAAAGCAGCTGCTGCTCCAGCACAGGACTGCAGCAACCTCTTCAGCTGTGCTGTGACACCGAGCTTATTCTCTTGGGAAATCTCTGCACACAAGGCAGAGCGCTCGGGAGGCAAAATAGGCACCAGAATGCTCCCAAACACGTGAAAAAACAGGTACGGGAGCCCAGTGGCGAAGGAAACTTTTCCTAATAACTGTTAGACGCAGGGAAGAAGAATCTAATGAACAAACACCGCTTCTCAAACCTCCGGCACTTCTGTCCCTGGTGATGTTTGTACGCGACAGGCCTGGCGCTCCCAGGGGTCAGTGCCTGCCCGGCCCGGCCCGGCCCACCCCAGCCCGGCCCGGCCCAGCCCAGCCCGGCCCGGCCCACCCCAGCCCGGCCGGGCCGCGGCTCGGGCGCAGGGGCCCCGCACAGCGAACACGGCGCAGTCCGTACCGGCGGCAGCGTCTCGCACGGGGCCCGTGCGGGCAGCGGGGCCGGCGGCAGCCGCTCCACGGGAGTGGCCCCGAGAGCTGCAGCGCGGCTCCGGCTTCCGAGCACGAGCGGCGCCGCACACCGGGGCCGCCAGGAGGACTGTCAGGGCTGCCGGGCGCGCCGGCCTCGGCCCGGCCTGGCCGGGACGCCCTCCCGCCGCCGCAGCCCCGCGCCGGAGCGCTGCCCGGGCCGGTGGGCGCGGGGCGGGGCCCGGCGGCCGCCCCGGTCCGGTACCTGCGCTCCGGCCCGCGGCCCCTCCGCGCGGCGCGCGCCGCCCCAGCGCCGGCTGCGGCGGCCGCCGGGCCCCGCCCCCAGCGCCCGCCCGCCAATCCCCGCCCGCACCGCGCTGACGCAGCTCCCGAGCGCCCAATGGGCTGCGGGTAACCCGCCAGCGTCGCAACGCGACCCCGCTGGCAACAGCCGGCGGCCAATAGCGGCCCTGCGGCCAAGCCCCGCCCCGTATCGGCCCCGCCCCGACGCTCGGGCCACGCCCCCAGGCCGGCCACGCCCCCAGCGCCGGGCGGGCTCGGCCCAGCGCCGGCCCAACAGCGGGACACGGGGATACCGGGACACGGGGATACGGGGATACCGGGACACGGGGATACCGGGACACCGGGACACGGGGA